TCAGACTCTGTGAGATTATCCTGATCATCTGTTTGCTATTATTTACTGTCTGCGTCTCCCCAGCAGCATGTAAGTTCCAGGGACTTCATCTCCTCTGAGCCCAGAACAAGACCTGGCTTCATACAGATGGGGAAGGAAAGGGTGGAGAGCAGCTCACCTTCTGACACCAAGAGCTGGAACTCCCCTCATCCGGGTGATCCTCTGCTTAAAGGGCCACAGATGCTGACAGGAATGGGACCAGCAGCTCCAGCATCACCAGGCCTGTTTCCTATGTGATGGGCAGCAGCTGGGTTTTCCCTGACTTGGTATCCCTGGGCTCCAAGCAGGGCCCGGAGGGCCATCAGCACCCTATACATGCTTGGAAAATGAATCTGAGCTTCCAGCTGTCTTTATAGGGCTTTGAAAGAGGCATGAGAATTTCAGTTCTAGTGCTTCAGTGGCATAACCTTCACTTTAGAACCTAGTTTGACCCAAACCAGACAAATAACAAAACCTGTTAACCTCAAAAGATGCCCAGGAGACCTGGGAAGGGTTAAACGGGCAGACCAAGCAATGGTGCAATTTGTTAAATCTGTATGTGATCACCTCTTGAGGTTCCCCACCCCATGAAGTAGTTGTCACCCCCATCTTTACAGGGGATGAATGTGGACCTGTAAGATGGGCAAGATGACCTGTCCAAGGTGACCTGCTAGAAAGTAGCAGATCCAGAGGAAAGCTTTTGGTGTGGGATTTGGCCCTACGTGCTCAATAAATATAATAAAAGAGCAAAAGAAAGAACATAATGACCCAGGTCTCCTGAGTCCCATCCGAATACTCTTAGCATCTTACTACCTCTACATTTACCATCCTGGATAGCTCAAAATCTGGTATAAATTTACAAAACACTTGCAAAAAGATGAACTATTTCCTGGAGTGAGCTCATGGTTCTAACAAGCCCTAATTCCTATTGGTAGGTGCTGTTTATCAGCTTAAAGATAGGATTTGAGAATACCCCTTACTATCCTTATTATACACAGCCTCACTCCAGAGCAGAAAAACTGCCTCTTACAAATATGGAGAAAACAATAGTATTTACTCTTTGTATTTCTGAAATGTTTCAAAACCAATTATTAATAAGAAAATGTACAAACCCTAATAAGAAAATGTATAAACCCTGCCAGGGTGTTTTATTTGTTTTTTTCCTTTATTCTAACTTCCCTCCTCCCCCACTTCCCAAAGGACAGGAAGAAGAGTAGAAAGAAAGGCCAAATTTCCCAGGTTTAAATTATCTAATACTTTAAGGAAGAATAAATGGGTCACCCCTGTCAGCTTACAACCTGCAGCCACATCAGATGGTGTTCCTTTGGCATAAACCCGATCCCACAGTGAGGTTTTACTGTAGCAGAATAAAGACAAAAGCAGAGCTCCAGCAGGACTGACCAAGGTCACTGTGAAAACCAATGCAGCACTAGCATTAGACCTGGGAATCCTTGACTCTCTGCTTGCTCTGTCTTGGCTGGTATCCAGGCTGCCTCCCACCAGGAAACCCCGGGCAGCTGGTAGGTAATTATATGTGCTAATAGTCACTGACACTCCAGCCGCCAACACAAGGTCCCAAGTTCCTGCATCTGTTACAACGTCCAACTATCACACTTTTCTAGGGTTGATTATTTAGAGAGAGGTGCTCAGCTCCGACTGACTCAGAACTAGGAGGCTGCCTGGCAGCTTTGAAGATTAACGTCTCGGAGGGAAGAGAGACAAGTCCACTTACCAAGTCCTCCATCCTATACCGAATCTGCCTCACAGTTGCTGTGTGACCTTGGACAAGTTCCAGAACCTCAACTACCCTCAGCCTTCCTATCTATAAAATGAGATAAAGTCTGCCTTGCAGAATTGTTGGGGACGGCACACCAGGAAGACTGACAGTGCAAGGCACAGAGCAGGTGTCCAATACCTATTTGTTGGACAACAGAATGAACAAAATTTCTTTGACTCCATTCCCTGAAAATTAGAGGTTAATTCCTACTTCGTGTCACACTAAATGTGATTGGAAACTATATGTGTGGATCCATTTGCATGCTGCCCAAAATAGGCCAGTTCATCCTACCCTGTACTGAATTTAGTCTAGTTAATGGAACTTGTCTTACACTTATCATTTAGGAAAGTTTATAACAGAATACTATATTTTAGTTTTCTCTTGGAATTTATTTCCAAACTTGATGAAAATTTAGCTAGAACAATCAAATTAGTATATTTTCTATGCACAAATCCTCATTCTGGAGATAAATGAGTCAAGAATTGAGAGATAAATGACTGAAAACAGCCTAGAGAGTGCCTCAAGTGGCACTGACTGCCTTTGTTTCTCTGCTCTAAATGTGTGCATCTTGGCCTGCCAGGTGATCATACTCACATCTCAAATGGCAGGGCTGAGGCCTCAAACTGGATGGATGTTGAAATTGAAATCCCAGTTGTGACAGTCAGAGCGGCACACGCTCGGCCACTAGACCGTGGAGTAAAAGCTCCGGGCTGGAGTAAGGGCAGAGATGGACAGCAGCTCTTGAAGCTCATGTTCAGTCTATAGAATTAGGATAAGGAACACAAGTGTCTGGAAGCAAACTCCAAGAGGGCTGAGTCAAGGTCTAAGGCGGGGACCAGAAAATTTGGTTGTATCTCTAGGTGTCTGGGTTTGCCATCTAGCTCCTAACTGTCACTTAATATCTGTGTGCAGATGTTGGAAGAGTTACCTAATCTTGCTGAGCCTTGATTTCTTTGTCTGTAAAATGACCAGCACTACTTTCCCAGATAACAAGAGTGATTGTTGGAGGCGCCCATGAGAAAGTGTTAAAATAAAGCAACCCCTTAGTATAAGCCTCCACTATTATTTCAGGGATAGTGGAGACTTGGGGCAATGCTAGCTAATAATGACCATGTCATGAGCACTTCCTTTCAGGCATCGTCTATGTGGGTCCTTCATGTTTGTGACCCTGCTTGCACCAGTCTCTGAGAGGGCTGCTATTATTATGTCCATGATGGGTGGGGAATCTCTGAGAGGGCTGCTATTATTATGTCCATGATGGGTGGGGAAACTATGGTCCAGAGAGGTTAACTAACTTGCCCAAGGTTGTACAGTTAATTAACCATGGTGGTGGGATTTGGACCCAGGCAGTGTGACTCTGGAGCCCAGGCTCCTAACCTTTAAGCTATAGGACTTCCTGAGAGCAGGACAAATAAGAAGTGCTTTGGCAATAAGAGTTAAGGAAGCATCTTATTTTTCCTGCCACCCAACTCATGTTTGCTGCAAGGAGGAGAGTTGGAGTCTCAAGGTCATCCCAGGATGGAGCTGGGGACAGTGAACAGGGACAGTGGGAGTGAGCCTGCAGGTAAGGTGTCACACCCATGAAATAGGAGGCAGGGAAGTCTGGTGGGCAGAGGATGGGCTTTGGAGCATGAGCCATAAGGATCTCATCCCTGGCACCTGTCCTACCAATAGCTTTCCAATCTGTAAAATGGGACGCTTATATTAATCTCAGGAGGCTGTTTCAGGGATTAAAGGAGACAAGTAATGCATGCAAATCTCTTGTTGCAGTTAATAACTAGCACACAGTAGGTACTCAATAAATGGTTGCTCCCTAGTCTCTCTCCCTGAGATCTGCTGTTATTCTAGGTAACAAGGTGTAAGGGATGGTGGCACAGCCAGATTCTGCCTAGACAGAAACCTGAGAAGAGTACAACTCAGTGGTTAGAACTATGGGCTCGGGGGTCTGGGTGGCCTGAATTCATATACTGGCTCCACCACTTATGAGTCTTGTAACCTTGGACATGTTACTTAACCTACCTGTGCCTCAGTTTCCTTATCTGTAAAGTGGACATAATAATAGTACCCACTTCATGGGGCTTGGGGACTGTTAGATATTAGTTAATCTGTGTAAAGCATTTAGAACAGTGCCCAGCATATGGTAAGCATTCAATAAACGCTGGCAATGATGACTTTCATCAGCCCCCTGAGTGTTTTGGGGCCAAGGGGCACCTCTGGGCCTTCAGTGGGCTATGCTTTATACTGCAAACCCTTCATTTTCTTATGGACCCCCAAACAGATCTTGGAAGAGTGGAAATCTCTGCAGCCTGGCCATATCATGTGCTAGATGAACTTTAGAGGAAGGGCAGTATCTTATCAGGTAAGCAGTGGGGATTTGAAAACGGTGACAATGATCACCTGGACAACAGCACAGGGAGTCAGAGAAGTGGACACACATGTGCGCACACAAACCCATCTCTGAGTTGCTGTGCTTTCTGCATTTACAGCCATGTTTTGACTCAGCTGACTAAGCTGTTGCTTCATTTCTTTCACTTTGGATAAATATGAGCCCCCATTTATGTTGTCCCTGAGCAGCCCTGGAGTAATTTCCACACTGATACAGGAGAGACCTGAATGTGGCCATGAGAAATGGAGGGTGATCCACTCCACCCCGTGCATGTGAAAAAGCACAGACACACTCTTACCCAGCCAGAAATTCAACCCTGCAAGGTTTTGTCAGAAAACCACAGTTAGACAAAAATTTACTTCTTGCGGAGAGAGGGAAGAAGAGGGCAGGAAAGTGAGAGGGAGGGAGGTAGAGAGGGAGGAAAGGAGAAGGAGAGAGGAGGAGGAGGAGAGAGAGACAGACAGAAGAGAACAGAATGAGCATCAGTAGAATCAAGGCACACTGCTATCTCCTAATGGAAGAATCAGGAGCATTCCCTTATAGCCTTGCTCCTCGCCCTCCTCCATCCCTGCAACTCCAGAGACCTGATTATAGTTAAACCCGCGTCTGTCATTTAAACCAGCGGAGCCTCTATCTCAGCGACGGCAACGTCTGCTCCCGCGCACACCGCCCTGCAGGATTCGGGTTGGAGGGCTGCGCACAATCAGCCCGGAGCCCCGCGGGCTGCGGCCGCGCTCCCTGCACGGGGACGCGGCGTGGGTGTGAGGGGAAGGGCGTCGTCCCTGCGCCCGGCCGCCCCCGGAGCCCCGGCCCGCCTACCTGAGCTGGCGCGGCTCGCAGTCCACACCGGGCAGCAGCAGCCGGGCGGCCTGGCGGACGTCGTCGCTGTCCATGGAGAAGCTGCGGCGGTGGCCGGCGTGCGCCACGGCCACCCGGATCCACTCCATCAGCGGCGGCAGCACGAGGAAGGGCCTGCGGCGTAGGAGGGCCGGAGACGCGTTAGGGCGGCAGTGTTGGGGGCTGCTGGCTCAGCCCCACCTCCCGCTCGTTGCCTACCGCACCCCGCCCCACCCCCCTTTTGCCCTGGAGACCCTGCCTCTTAATTCAAAGTGCGAGAACCTTTGCAGACATCCCGACCGCACCGGTGAGCTCGGGGCAGGCTCTCCTGAGTCTTTGTGCCTCAGTTTCCTCATCTGTAAAACGGGGATAATGTGACTGACAGGCTAGGATGTGAGTATAATCTCCCTCAGTGATCATGTGAACATAAAGGAGATGACTCACTTAAAGCACCAAGCACAGGGTTGGGTGCTTACTAGAAAATCCAACAAACGCCTGGGGTTATTAGGTCTTGGCTTTCCCCACACTGAAAGGGTCCTCCAGCTCTCCCTTCCCACTCCCAGCCTGCTCCGTGTCACCCTCCTGTAGCTCTCCCAGGACTCAGCTCTGCCCAAGCACCGTGCTGCCAGCAGGCTCCAGCATCCGGAGAGGCAGACTGCCGAGAGCCTGGCCTGGCAGCCCAGTACAGCCGGCACAGTGAGGGGGAGGGGGGCTGCGGTTTGGGGCCTTGGCCACAACCCTGAAGCTCTGGGAGCCTCAGGTTCCTCCCCATCTTCCAATGGGATCACAGCAGGAGTCCAGCCTGTGACAAGAATTAACTGAGCTAATGCTTATGGCTGAACCAGAACTTACTAAGTGTAACACATTTGTGCCACTTTCCTGTTCTTCCAGTGATTATTTTAAACTCCATCCTCACATTAGGATTGAGAACAGGGGAGTTTTTGAAAAATACTGTTATCTGAGTCCTGTCCTGGGGATTCTGATTTAATTCATCGAGGATGGGGCTGGACATTGGTAGTTTTTAAAACCTCCTCCATGTGAACTTAATGCGCATCAGAATTATCTGCATGGCTTGTTAAAATGCAGATTGCTGGACCCTATCCCCAGATTGTCTGATTCAGTAGCTCAGGGGAGGTGGCCAAGAATTTGCATTTCTAATGAGTTCCAGGGTAATGCTGATGCTGCTAGGCTTGGGAGGGACACACTCAAAGAACTTCTCTAAATTATCGTAGAGGGCCTGGGACTCACCCGGCTTTGTGTGTGTGTGTGCGCGCGCGCACACATGTAAAAGGAGATTCCTTGGCCTTATCTCCAGTGATGCTGATTGTGTAGGGTTCACAAATATAATTTTAATAAGCATCCCCTATGATATTGATTTAGGTGCATCAAGGGCCACACCTTGAGAAACGCACAGTGTAGATCAAAAACCATTCAGTATGGCTACAATCAGGGTGAGGCATGGGGGTATCTAGGGTGTAAAATTTAAGAAGGCCAGATCATGCAAATATGTTCTAGCACCTCTCTTGCCTCACCCTAGCTCTGATGCTGCCATTCAGTCCAGCATGGCTGCCATGGGAGGCAGAAAGGGAGAAGAGGGTGGTAGATAAATGGTTTATTTCTGCAAGGCAGCAAACCCCTCACAGTATGCAGATGTCATGAGCTTCCCATGCAGTTTTTGGTGACAGGTTCCAGTTTTCCTGTAAAGCAACCTATGTGTCCAATGTTAATATTCAACAGCTAAGCTTTTATATTCGTCTCAGTTAATCCCACTCATGATCTCATCTAAATGCTTAGGATCAGCCTATAAGCTAGTTATGACTTTGCCCACTTTCTTGAACTATGTTGTTGTTTTTTTTCTAATAGAGGTCCTCCTGGGATTGAACCCAGGACCTTGTGCATGCCAAGCATGCACTCTACCACGAAGCTATATCCACTCCCCCAATTATGCCCATTTTCTAGATCACAAGAATAAAGTTTACTGAGGTTAAGTAACCTACCCTGGATCACAAAGTTAGCAAGTACAAGAGCTGGGAGTCCGACCCAAGACATTTCACTACATAGCCCATGTGATACTGTCGCTCTCTTGTTCACCTTCCCAGCATGCACCAGTTACCTCAGGGGGGATGATCTGGTCACAGACCTTTGATGGCATGCCATTTTCATTCCTGCTCATACAGCTCAATCTCCTATCAGGAAGGCCTCCAGCCCTTTAAAAATCCACACCCCACTTAACTTTCAAACCACAGTTCAAATTCCATCTCTCCCTAAACATTTCTCCTGAGGACTCCTTCCGACACAGACCCCCTCCCATGGTAGCCCCCACCACAGTGGCCTTACCTGCTGGCCCCATTAGAATGTAATCTCCACAGGGAGGGATCTGGGACTGCTGAGTTCACTGATCCAGCCCCAGCGCCAGTCCCAGGACAGTGCCTGGCAGGCTGTAAGCACTTAATAAATAATGTGTTCATGAAATAGACTAAGATCTACCAATTCCCTTACTGGGTGAAACAGATAAAATCGAGTTTCTGGACCCATGGACCTGTGGGGCAGGCTCCCAGGGAATTTCTGCCAGCATCAGCCTGCTGCTTAGGCTGTCGTCCTCATTCTCCTCTTTCCTCCATCACCTAAACTGCATCAGGCACTCAATAAACACACACTGACTTGAAATTGAATTGGATTCTACAGTCTCAGGTGAGTAGGACTTATTTTTGTCACCATGTCTCCATCACTGCTGAAACCAGCCTCGGGTGCTCTGAGAACTCCCTTCTGGGTTGTTTTTTCAGAGGAAGCACCCCTGGCCCCCCATCCTGCCTTTCCTTTGCTCAGTGCCCCCAAAGCGCAGCCCGCAAATCCCCACCCCTTGGGAGCTGTGTCTCTAGCACAGACTGCCCTTCAGTGCTGCCTTTCATGTTAGATGCTAAGGCCCAGGGCACACAGCCAGCTCCTGATGAATACCGGAGAGGAGAAAAAATCTCTCCTGCCTTCAAAATCACACCTTTACCAAGACAGCTGGCGAGCACTAGAATAAGAAACCTTGAACCCCAGGATTCCAGCCTTCTCTGGAATTTTCTATGTACCGGTTTTCTCCTTTCAACATTGCCTTCTTTTCGTCACTCTGACCTCAGTAGTTTATAAGCTTATGAATTCTTTGCCAGCAACTCATTTAAAAATCTTCTTATCTTGTCGACTCAGAGGGAAAGCAAAAAAATCATATTATTTGTGATGTTTCTTTCGGAAGAGTTGGAGATGGGAAAGCGTTCTAGGGCCTTGAGTTAAGGAAAGGGTGGAGCATGCTGAGGGAAAAAAGACTGCATTCTCCTGACACATTTTTTTTAAGAGAAAATGTTACACTGGCTACTGACTTTGTTCTGAAGTTGTCTGTAGCAACTGAAACCTACATGGAGCAGGAGAGGCTCCTGGCTTAGTGAAGTGGAGTCAACATCAGAACCACCACAGAGGTGGAGGAATGTGTGAAAACTGCCAAGGTCCTGATTTCACCCCTAGAGTTTTGGTTCAACAGGCCTGGGGTGGGGCTTGGGCAACTGCATTCTAAGTAAGCTCCTCTAGGAATTCTTTATAACCCCTGATCTTGTGGTCTGCGGTCAATTATAACAAGGCCGTGGCCATCAACATCATTGCCATGGTGTTTGAAGAGAAGGTTTGTGGCCATGGGACCAGAGGTTCTAGAAGGGGAGAGAAGGCCTAGATGGGTTTTTTGCAGGGTCAAAGGAGTAAGTCAGCTCAGGAACGTTGCTGGGTCTACGTTCAAGGAGGTTATTGTGGGTAGAGTCTTTCTGAAACAGTGGAGAGAGAGGTGGTGATGAGGGTGACCATCCAGGGTGGAAAGGGAGTCTCGTAGAGGAGGGGCTGGGTGCTAAAGAGGATGGTGGGGTATGTTGAAGAAGCCCAGTTTGTTCAGGACTCTTCAGAACTGAATTCCAGCCCTGAATATGCAACAGCTCACAGTAGGACCCTGGCTCTGGTCTAGATGTTTTGACTCTCAGGATCTTCATTTGCAAGTGGGTGGATTTGGATTGGATGGTCTACTTCAGTGGTTGGCAAACATTTTCTGTAAAGGTCCAGGTAGCAAATAGGCTTTACAAGTCCTACAGTTTCTGTTGCAACTTCTCAGCTCTGCCATTGCAGTGAGAAAGCAGCCGCAGACAATACAGATGTGACAGAACTGGCTGTGTTCCAAGAAAACTGTATTCACCAAATCAGATGGTGGATCACAGTTGGCCAACCCTGGGTCTATCTGATTTCCTCCTACTCTCAAATTCTTTGATTCTACTGAAATATCCAGCTCCCTGGGGGCTTAGGAAGAGTGTAGTGTGTGGATCAGGGAAGGTGGGAAGAAGCACATGAAGGCCCTGGTGATGGGCACAGAAAGCTTTGGGGAGATTAGAAAAGAGAACCCTTCCACAAAGAGATCATGGCTGGATTGGGGGGATATTGAGCCACAGGCATACTCAGAGGCAGTACCTTCAAGGATAAAACTCAAACCTGGCCATGAGTGTGTGATGAAATATCATCTGTTAACATCATTTATTCATCCAACAATCCTTTAGGAAGCATCCAGGTTGCAGGCATGCTTCCAGGGGCTGGAGATAGGGTGGAGAAAAGGATACATCTATGTTCTCATAGAGCTAACAGTCTAACAGGGAGACAGATAAGAAACCCATAACCCAACAGGTAATACAGCAATTACAAGCTGTGATCAGTGCCAGGGTGCTGGGATAGAGAACAAACAGGGTTGGGGTAGGGTGGTGGGGAGGCCTCTCTGAGGAAGTGACAAAAACTCCAATATTTGAAGGAATTGGCCACATGTGAGTGTGTTTGTAGAGAGACAGATGTTCCAGGCAGCAGTAACAGACTGTGCAAAGGTCCTGAGGCAGAAAAGACCTTTACAGCTCAGCAAGGGCTTTCACAGGCACCATGTCCTGTTTAGTGCTCCAAGTCAAATGGGGTGGCCAGGATATGTGTGAGGAAGGCTCACTGTGGTTGGCAAAATAACAACTCCCAGAGACATCAGGTCCTATTCTCTGGAATCTATGAATGTTGATCACAAAAGGAAATCTGCAGATGTGGTCCAGTTAAAGATCTTTAGAAGATTATCCTGAATTACCCAGGAGGGC